TGCATAAGGTAACGGTAAAGGTTCCCATAAACATTTAGTCCAGTCATGTCCAACTCTAGGGTGCGGTGCTCATCCCTGTTTCCAAGCTGTAGAGCCAGTGTTTGTCCGTAGAAAGTTTCCGTGGTCACATGGCCAGTGCGACTTAGACACGGAATGCTGTTACCTTCCCACCAAGGTGGTCCCTATTTATCTACTTGCATTTACATGCTTTCAAACTGCTAGGTTGGCAGGAGCTGGGACAAGCGATGGGAGCTCACTCTGTTTCCTGGTTTTGATCTTACGACGGCTAGTCTTCCTACCTTGCAGCAGAGAGGCTTCTTCGGTTTATGACAATAATAAAACAACCAAAAACAGAACATGGGGGGGGGGGGAATCAACTAATATGTCAACTAATCAAAAATAAACACAAAATATAACATACATCTACTGTCCTGTGCTCCCAACCAACCTCAGGGACTAATTTACTTATTTATTTCACTTTATAGGGACTAATTTACTTATTTATTTCACTTTATATTTGGCTGCGGCCCCTTTTCTCTCCAGAAATATAATGATCCTTGTCCAGGGTTATAACCTTTCACTTTCTCAAACAGATACTAAGTTTCATATATCTTTAAAATCATTTGTATTCCATATTCCATTTCTAATCTTAACTTCACATGTTAGTTTATCATTAATGGCCATATTCTGCGTTTCTTTGTACTGTTCCTTCATATTAATTTGATTATGATTCTTCCGAGTGCTCACACATATCAATCTTGCCACCATTACTAGAATAATAATTAACTACTTTTCTTCCCCTTTCGGTTGATTATTATTAACCACATTCAACAAAGGCTCTCCGTTTCATGTTTTTTCCTGCAGGAATTGTGGGCCAATCAAAAGAAAGTTTTCAGGGACTTTGCCCATCTCCACCTGAATAACGTGAGAAGAGAACATATATGAGAGCCAGTGTAGGGTCATGATTAAAATATTGTGCTGGAATGTGGAAGAGCCACATTCTAATCTACATTAACTTGCCTTAAACTCATAGGCCAAAATCTTACCGTGTTTTAATGCTGGCATAGCAGGCCTAACACAATAGGTGTAAATCTCAGCTGCAGATTGCCAGAAGTCAAGATCTTTGTTTAAGTACTTCATGTTGGGCAATCAGTTACGGTGGTGCCTTGCTTTACGATTGCCCTGCATTATGACGAATCAGCTTTAAAATGATCTTTTTGCGATCGCAATTGCGATCGCAAAACGATGGTCTAAATGGGAGAATTTCGCTTTGCAATGATCAGTTCCCTGCTTCGGGAACTGATTCTTCACAAAACGATGATTTTTAAACAGCTGATTGGCATTTTCAAAATGGCCACCGGGTAACTAAAATGGCTCCCCGCTGTGTTTAGGGACAGATTCCTCGCTATACAGGCAGCGAAAATGGCCACCGTATGGAGGATCTTCGCTGGACTGTGAGTTTTTACCCCACTGGAACGCATTGAATGGGTTTCAGTGCATTTCAGAGGGGTTTTTATTTTTGCTTTACGACGTTTTCACTTAACAGCGATTTTCCTGGAATGGATTATCGCTGTTAAGCGAGGCACCACTGTACATGACTCAGCATACAACCCCAAATGTCAACACTGCCCTCTTAATATGTGCCAATTTGTTCTTGAGATATATGCTGTATTATCCTAGCAGGCATAACTAACAGGATTTTATCCACTGGGTTATTTTAGTCATGTGACAGTCCATAGCAGGTGACAAGCCACAATGGAGATGTATCATCTCCAGGCTTCGAAGGAAGGGACCTCCAAATGCCAGATGCAAGGGAGGGGGATCCAGAGAGAGGTCTCTCGTTATCTCATGTGCTCCCAGAGGCATCTGGTGGGGCCATGGTGAGAGACAGGGAGCTGGATGAGAGGGGCCTTTGGCCTGATCCAGCAGGGGTCTTCTTACATTTTTATGTACTTATGACAGGTGTCCTGTCTTGGCATGATCTCATTCCTTGGGTTACTGTTTTAAAGATAACATGGGCAGGAGGAGAGCCATGTATGCTGGCTTGGGTTCATCCTAAAAAGGTAGCAAAGGCATGTAACTAGTATATAGATTAAGAAATGAACAAAGGAAGCATTCAGGAAATCTCGCCCCAGCGAAAACTGTACATCTGGTTTGGGGAGGATGTGTCTTGAGCATGTTTTGTCACTTGCTGGGGAGGTGGAAACATCAGCCGTAATAATAGGGCAGGTTTTACACATCTTTAATCATCGCTGCTCCAAAAAAGAACAGCATTCTGGAAAAGACACCCGGAGGCTTCCTTCATTGTCCTTGCAGATGCAAATCTAAAAAGTATTTCATTAGCAAGTGTTCGGCTTATTTATGCGCCCGGCATTTACATAAATCTCATCTGTGGTGTTGCGTATGGATCGCCAGCTGCGATTTTGAATCGTGTTGCCCTGTGATTCATCAAAATTGCTTTCCTGTGTTTTGGATTGAGAACGGGGAACAGAAGGCCTCTTTGAGGAGAAAATTATCTAAGTTTTCCATTTGGGAGAAATCTTTTTGCAGGAAGTAGAATCTCATAACGAAACAGGTCTCTGTATACTTAGCTGAGGGCTCGAGTCTACTGACAACAAAACATGCTGTTGTAGAGGGTTCTGATTAAAACAAAGATTTAAATTTTAGCATACACATGAGGTATGTGCACGCATGGAGTATTGTTCCAGAGGAGCAGGTTTTTCTGCTCCTCTGCCAGAGGACCATTGATTCGATTCCACCTGTGTGAACACAACACCCACTTTTTTTAAAAAAAAATCCTGCTATCTGATACAGCGCTATACAGTGGGGTGGAAAAAAATAAAATAAAAGCACCATGCTTGCCGAAAAAGCCAGCACCCAATTGCTTGCCTGCCCCCCATCCGCCTGCTTAACCACCCCCTTGCTTGCTTACTTGCCCCCTACCTGCCCCCTCACTTGCTCTCCCAATCACTTGCCCACCCTCCTACCCCTCATTCACCTGTCCCCATGTCCTACCACCCTCACCAAATACTCTTTCCCTTTCCACCCCTTTCCCTCCCCCTCTCCTCCCACTCCCTTTGTGTCCTCTCTGCTCCCCCATCCCTGCCAAGCGGAGCCAGCTGATTGGAGATGCCGACAGCAGTGACGTCAATGTTGGAAAGAGCAGCAGTAGCGATGGCTGTGGGTAGCCCAAGACAGTGGTGGTGGTGGTGGTGTTACCCCAAATGGGTCCCTGTCCTTTATATCCTGGGGAGAGGGACCAGGAGAGGAGAGAGAGAGCGCCCAGCCAGACTACTGACAAGAAGACCACGCACCAATAACTTTGGCTTAAGCACTATTCATGTAACATTTATTGATGAAACATAAGACATAGGCTATAAGACAGAAGGTACCAAGAGGCCTCTCTTTTGTACTTCTCATTCACACAAGATACTCACTCATTCAGAAGGCCCTTCTCTAGGGGTGATCAGTCCTCAGAGAAAGGTGATGGGGGTCATTCCAGCGCTGTTTCGAAGCCCACCTTTCTCTTCCTGGGTCATCCTTCTCATAGGTCTTTTCCTTGTGGGCTGTGTTAAGGGGCTAAACCTGGGCTGGCACAAGCACGCGGGGGGCAGATCCTGGCATCCTGGGCAGATACAATCTGTTGCCATGCAGGGATGCTTCATTTCACGTTTATGATTTGTTCCATCTGCCACATACTTGGCTTCAGCGAGCCTGCTTCCTCTTTCTTAAGCCTGCTTTCTCCAGTTTTAGTTATATTTGGACTTCTTGCTCCCGTTCACTTCCCTCTTGTCTGGGCACAACAACTACAAAAATCCAAACCTATGCCCACACAGCAACCTCTTATTAATAACGGAACTGCCTCCGTCTGCAACTCGCATCTTCTTTTGAAGCTCTGTATGATGCACGCTGTCCCATCTTCCCCTGCAATTTCTCCATCTTCTTCTCAGGTCTGGGGTGCTGGTCTTTCTGGAACCCACATGTTGCTCATAACAGTGGCATCAGCGAGGCTGGGGTGCTGGTCTTTCTGGAACCCACACGCACTCTGTCACACTCTGTTGCTTATAACATTGGCATCAGCGAGAATGCCTGCACCAACACAAAAGTTTGGGATTCGGGCTAAAGTCCATGTGACTTTGTCTTGAATTAAAAAAAGCAGAAACAATACCCTAATCCTCCTGCCAATTTATTCTGGCAGTGGAAACAGGCTCTGAGGCGAGAGTGATAATTTAGCAGAAACCCTAGGAAAACACATTTCAAACCAAGCAAACGAAATAGAACAGGGCAAGAGAATCAGGCACCAGTTTGACATATTATATTTCCTGACCCGTTTCTTACAACCGGAATCATGACACAGCCCAAACCATTACAGGAATCCTTTCCTTTTCACGTCACTCAGCCTTTCCATCATTTGTTCCTGCACTCTTTCAGCTCGTTTTCAGAGAAGATTCTATCTTCAACAGTTAGAAACATGGCCTGGCTTCCCCCCAAATCCCCCATCTGGTCCCTTTTTATCCATTTGTACAAAGATTGTGTGCACTGCAATTTGTGTTCCTTCCCTGGCATTCTAACTCTAAGGGGCTTTGCATCTAACTTCTGACTGTGGGGAGGGAAATGAATGACAGGCAAAGAGAGTGTGCAGGTTCATATTGACAAGATCAGGTGTCTGTGGGACGGAACGGGGTAAGAGCCAAAATAAAATGACACCTGAAATTTGCCTGCCTAGAAACAACATGGGAAGAAAATGCACAGGGTAAAGATCAAATTTCTGGCTAGCCCTGGGAGAGAGCGAAAAGCGTCCAATGAATATGTATCAAGAAAGGAAGCGTATGAAAATTAATGTAAAGCGTCACACTGGCAGTTCTCGTCCAGCATCCCAGGGACAAGGGGCAAAATAGTCAACCAGCGGACAATCTCACCCCCAAAGATCTGATCACTTGTGGATATTCTTGGGATAAAGCAAGAGAGGAAGACAAGCAAAGGTGAGCAAGGGAGTGGTGATGCTCATTCACAGGATCTTCCAAGTTGTCACAGTGATCGATTGTGTTGTGGGGATGATGGCCAGTGGGTTTATTGTGTCCGTTGGGTCTACAGACTGGATGAGAAGGAGAAAGCTGCCCGCCTGCGATAGGATCCTCATCTGTCTCTGTTCATCCCGGCTTCTTCTCCAGGGAACCATCTTGCACGCGACTCTCTTCCCAGAGCTAACCCAATGGAACGTAGTCAGAGGACACTCGGTCTTGCTCGTCTTGGCCAGCACGGCTTGTCTTTGGTTTGCAGCCTGCCTCAGCGTTTTCTACTGCCTGAAGATTGCCACTTTCACCCAGCCGTGCTTTCTGCTAATGAAGCTGAGAATCTCTGCGATGGTTCCTCAACTTCTTCTGGGGTCAGCGTTGATCTCTTTGGTCTCCTCCCTCCCTTTCCTCTGGGTGGATTACAGCAGTCACCTCTGCAACTCGACCAGGAGTCATCTGAAGAACATCTCCTTTGAAAGCCCCACTGGGAACAACATCTCCTACTTCAAAGGTTTCGTCATGTATGTGACTTGGGCAGTCGTCCCGCTTCTTTTCTTCATCGCATCTTCCACCCTGTTAATTGCTTCTCTGTGGAAACACATCAAGCAGATGAGACAAAACGCAACGGGCTTCAAGGATTCGAAGACTGAAGCTCATATCACTGCCATTAAATCTCTGATCTCCTTCCTAATGCTCTACATCTGTAGCTTTATAGCTGAGATTCTGCTGGGAATCCCTTCCTGCCAAGCTATGAGCCGATGGAAACATAATATCTGTTCGCTCTTGATTGCTGTATGCCCTTCAGTCCATTCCATTCTTCTGGTTCTCCTTAATGTTAGACTGAAGCTGGCAGTCAAAAGCATTCTGCTTTACATGAAGTGCCATCGGAAACAAGACTCTGCCAAAGCTCTTTGGCAAGAAAGAAAAAGTATGTCTTCTAGCTAGGAACCGGAGATGTAAAAATAATTGGAAGAATCAAACCTCAGACTAGTTCTCTGATCTTCAGTGTCCTTCCAAAGATCCAGTGGTAGTCCATCAATTTACATTTTTAGTAAGTTCACCTGATCAGGGATGCTTCAGATAGAAGCTTTAAAAATGTAAGTTGTCACCTGTTGGAAACTAAAGCGTGTTATAATTGACCTGATCTGTTATTAAATTATTATCAAACAGCTGCTCTGTGGTTAACAAGTGCATAGAATGTTACTGTATTTTTCCATGTATAAGACACTACTTTTTCATAAAAATCATTACACTAAAAATTGAGGGGTGTCTTATACATGGAAGTAAGTGGAGGAGAAAACAAAACGGCACATACCTTGCCTCTGCAAACAGGCTTCCTTCAGTCACGAGGCTTAGTTTCCTACAGTCAGGAGACTTCGCTTCCTTCAATCATGAGCCTTATGGAACTGACGTCAGCTGATGTTGAACAAACCAATTGGAACACACCTTGTTGGAGGTGGAGCCTGTACCTGCCACAGTCAGAAGTCAGATTCAACAGAGACTCCTAATGTCCAACATTCAAGGCTGAATCCTCAAAGCTACGTTTTCTCAATTTTGGGTTAGAAAAGTGTGTCGGGGGTATCTTATAAACTGGGGCATGTTATAAATGGAAAAATACACTACATACGAATTTTCATGTGTACAACAATGAGTATGAAACAATCATTTTTATGATTTTAAAAAACACACTGGCAAACTGACAAAAATGCAACAACAACTACTCTTCTTCTTCTTCTTCTTCTTCTCCTCAATTTTCAGCAAGAGTCCAAGTTTGGCGTTTACATTGTTCCATTAGCTTTGCAGAAGTTAGTCCTGGTTCCTCAGCAGGGTCTGCTGAGCCCTGCAGCCAATTTGCCACCAGATGCCCAGGGGCTATAGCATCTGACGCAGTCCTTGTTGACCCAGGCGATGACTGATCAGGTATGGATTTCCGCTTATGTCCTCTCATCATAATTGATGGTTGTGGACACAGTGAGTCCGCCTTCTCATCTGAGACCTTTCTGGCTGGGGAGACACTTCAACATAGCTCTCAACTGCACTGGAGCATGCAAGTTGCTCCGCCTCAATAAGGCCTGTGTGCATGGAGGGATTGACGACAAAAATGGGATGAACCAGACTTTGGATAAAAGACATTTCCGTGGTCCACATAGTCATTGGAGCTTTGGGAACACTATCAAGAACTTCACACAGTACTATAAGTAGTTGCAGATCTCAGAAATCACACCATCAGAGCTATAAAAAATGGCAATATTAGGAACAGCATACATACTGTGTCAATATTTAACAGATACTTAGGTGTTTGGTTAAAATTTGTATCTGATCCATAATATCAGTCAATGTTTTTATAATTCTGATTGGCTGTGCCTGGTATTTTTGAACAATGCCTTAGAACTGCAGAATTGGAAAAGACCCCATGAATCACTGAGTCAATAAAGCACAGTGGGAAATTGAACTCCAAACGCTGGTTCTATTGCCAGACACCTAAACCGCTGAGCTATCCAGCAGATTATGGAACAGAATAAATTTGTGTTTAAATATATGTGAACACTAGAGAAACTGTACAAGACAGATTTATCCGTCCATAGATGTAACGGTGTTTTAAAAATACTATGGATACTAAGCTATGTATTTCATAGATATTGCTGTTGATGAGAATGGGTTCACATGATCCTATTCATGATCCCATAATGGTTTTAGTGACAGGTTTTAGTTGAAACAAGCGATGTCCATGAAACTCCAAACGCTGGTTCTATTGCCAGACACCTAAACCGCTGAGCTATCCAGCAGATTATGGAACAGAATAAATTTGTGCTTAATATATGTGAACACTAGAGAAACTGTAGAAGACAGATTTATTCGTCCATAGATGTAACGGTGTTTTAAAAATACTATGGATACTAAGCTATGTATTTCATAGATATTGCTGTTGATGAGAATGGGTTCACATGATCCTATTCATGATCCCATAATGGTTTTAGTGACAGGTTTTAGTTGAAACAAGCCATGTCCACGGAACCTCTTATTTGGTTTGGAAGCCAATCTGGATGTCTGGGATGAAAACCTAACTCTCTCCCCCCTTTCTATAAAACATGGGTTCCAAATCTGCCCTGATTTCTAAATTTAGATTGCGAGTCTCCCATTGACTTGCATGAAAAACCATAATGGCTGTAACTGTTTGGTTTTTTGGCCTGGGTGTACATGGAATCTGGAGATATGTCAGACCTCAAGGGAGGGAGCAACGCTTCGGGACACAGAAGGGGCAGGGAGCCTTGAACAGTGAAACAACTGCTGCTAGATCTTTCTCACCAGGACCTCTGGCAGTGATCCGGCAACATTTTTAATTGTTAAAGTTTCCTCCCTGCACATCTCGAAGCTCTCCTTAAAATAACCTCAGGTACAGCAACCCACGCTAGTATGTCCACAGGAGTGAAGTCACAGATTCAGCTTTAAGTCTTGTTAGCTTGGTGTTAAGAAGAGTTTGAATGGATTCTCTGGTCCTGCACCTCAGGCTGCAAAGTGTCATGGGGGTGCTGAAAATTAAGACGGTTAACAATTTAACAAACGCTGTGTCGAATTCACTCACTGGACTTTTTCCTGTTCATCACGTTGTCCCCTATTCTATTCATTATTTCCCCAGTAATGCCACTTAATGCTCCGCACCATAGGGACTCAAGGAGATACTTCTCAAATCAAGTTAATTATAGACAATGAAACTGCCATTCGCTGGCCTGGCCTTCGACCAACGTTCAAGCGCTCATTACCGTGGTTCCAGGTACTGCTGGAGGATCATTTTGACAACATATCATCCAAGATATTGTGAGTTTCCTTATTACAATAAGTTGACCCCCGCTGCTGAAGGCTGAGCCAAATATAGCTGATCAAATGAGGTCAGTAGAATGGAACTTTCCTGTCACAGCAAAGTTACATTGGTCATAAAACCAAGCCAGCTTCCATTTTCACAGCAGACAGAAACACTTGTCTTTCAACGACTGCTGCAAGCAGACACGGCTGATCCATATCGGATGTAACAACGCATTTAGTTTTGCGTCTAATGTGCCCATTTAAAAACACAACCCAAAAATGAACAAGTAAATCACGGAGAAGGCTGGCAGTTGTGGGTGAGGTTACTAGCTCTTGAGATACGGGTTGGAAACAGGACCCGATTAAGACCTTTAGAAGCCCTAAGCACTGAAAAGATTATGGTGCCCTTATAATATGCAGTGGGTGCCATGGCTTGGGAGGGAAAAAAACATATCATAGAAGCCCTAAGCACTGAAAAGATTATGGTACCCTTATAATATGCAGTGGGTCCCATGGCTTGGGAGAAAAAAAACATATCAGGCACACATTATACTCATGAAAATATGGTCATTGAATTGTATTGTTTTGTAGCACAAAAAGGAACCACATATCATATATAAAATCATCTGTATAATCATAATCCAGTCATATCTTGCAGTTTTATGCTTTGAGTAATGTAGACAGATTTTGTCAGAATCTGTAAACTGAAAAGCTCAAACAAGCATTTTTAGCCGTGGTTGTCATTTCTGTGGCTTGCACATATAGTGCAAAGGCCACGGCTGGCAGCTCTTTCATCCATATCACCCCCCCCCAAAAAAAAACTCATAACGAAATAAAAATTAAGAAAACAAACATGAAGTGAAGAAGAAGATGATTGATCATTTCTATCAAAACATGAGTTTTCTCACTAGGTGAGTCTTGAAGGAGATACGTATAACATATTTAAGGAGATACTTACCAAGTATATTAGTATTTTCTGGTTCATTCTCAATTACCTGAGGTACCAAGGTGGTTTTCATGAGGGAGGGAGGGAGGGAGGGAGAGAGGCAAAGGTGAAGAATGGATGGACATGGTTTGTTAAGGAGCATGCCCTATTTTCCCCTGGTCTACGGTAAATCTGGCACTAAAAATAAACTCTGTAGTGCCCCCTTTCCTGGGTTACCAGGGGCCACCCAAAGGACAAAGAGATGGGTACTAGACCAACTTAGCCCTCAGTTGTTTAGGAATTAAAATGACAAAACAGAGACTATGATACACTGTGAAAAGACTCATCGGGGGGAAAAATAATCCTGGGAAAAATTGAAAGCAGCAGGAAAAGAGGAAGACCAAACATGAGATGGATTGACTAATAAAGGAACCACAGACTTGAGCTGGCAAGACCTGAGCAGGGATGTGAATGTCAGGGTCATTTAGAGGTGACTGATTTATAGGATCATCATAATTCAGAAGCAAGATGAGGGCAACCCTTTGACGTGTTTTTGCAGCTGAGTTTATGTCTTAAGTACTAAACTTATATGTTAGAGATAGCCTGTGTGGCCACATTTTTCTGTTGTGGGATGACTTCATCCAAAATATGCCACCCATCCTTTGCCCGTGCTGGATTGGGCATTTAACTGCGCAGCTTCAGATCCTGTATTTGCCAAAGAGCTCACTTGGTTTACCTTACCAAGATATAGACTTTAAATATTATATAAGATCCAAAGGTAAACAGATAGGAAGGAATCACTCTGAAAGCAGAATTAGATTCACTTCTTCAATTATTGTTGTTTCAATTATGGCCCCCGCCCTATATATTTTTGCAAATGCCTGAGGAATCCCACAACAGGGGGTACTCTAATTGTTAAAATGATGCCTAGCTAACCCATGGATGACATCCAGAGTTTGCAAACCTCTGTGTAGCTCTTGAGAGTCCCATGGACTGCAACGAGAACAAACCTATCCATTCTGAAGGAAATCAACCCTGAGTGCTCCCTGGAAGGACAGATCCTGAAGCTGAGGCTCCAATATTTTAACCATCTCATGAGAAGAGAAGACTCCCTGGAAAAGACCCTGATGTTGGGAAAGTGTGTGAAGGCAAGAGGAGAAGGGAATAACGGAGGACAAGATGGATGGACAGGGTCACCGAAGCGACCAACATGAATTTG